ATTTTTACTTCTACTATACGATTAATTGTGAAGTAAAAAATATGACTAAGTAAAATTTACTCGGTTATTTTGATTAGGAGTAAAATTTACTCCGTTATTCTGTTTGTGAGTAAAATTTACTCCGTTATATTTTACTCCTTTAAGTGGAGTTAAATTGACCCTCAGTGGAGTATATGTTCGAATGCATATATCGAAGACGTAGGCCGAGTAAATTTAACTTTTTCACTCCCAATTTTTAATTCTCAGTGGAGTTGAAATAACTCCTTGAAATTAACAGTGAACACTCAACTAAATGACCAATAAAAAGTTGGTTATAATAACTTATATAAATTGGTCGAAAGATGACCAATTTTTTCGACCAATTTGTAATAGTCAAAGGAACCAAATTTAATTGGTCAAATGCGACTAACTAATTAAACAATTGGTCAAAATGACCAATTGCTAATGGTTGCAACCTAAAAAATTGGTCATTTCGACCAATCAGTTTTTACAGTGTAGTGTTGAAAATGTCACTCGTAGTCGGCAGCTGTGAGCTATTTTACCTACTGTGTTTGGCTAGCTAGTGTTCGGGATAGTTATTAATCCTGATTTGCATTATTCACTTTACCTCCGTGCCGGAACCTAAACGATTGCCCATGATGCGATTCTAGGCCACATTTACAATGCACTGGAAATCTTTCCGTAGCAGCGTGAAAAACACCTACCGTACATGTAAGAACTCTATTTTCAGAGGAATTATTGCAATGGAGAGATGTTGTTTCGCTAAGCTTCTGAAAGTAATACATTTCATATTGTATAGGTGCTTTTTTGCGCCTCTACAGAAAGCCATCCAGTATAGTGTAATAGTAGCCGCAGTATTATGAAGCATGTTTGTAAATTAAATGGACTTTAGAAGTACTTGCTTTACGTCACTATCAAACAATGAATATTTATCCATATGTATTCTATATATATTGCATTGCTTATGGCTATGGATTGAAAATTGCATGACGTATAAGCACTTCTAACGTTTATTAACATTTACAATTTTAAAATGACACGTTTTGGAAAACATTCCTGTTTGGCAGTTACTGTATAGAACAATTCGCAATATAAATCTGCATGCAATGGCAACCTAAACTAAAATATACTCTTAATATATCACAATTTAATATCATTAGAGTAGTGTATGTTGTGAAGAATGATTCATTTTTACAATATTGTAAAGACGAGCGTATTTCTTCAACCTCCGGTTTGCAAAGTCTATATTTCTTCTAATAAAAAATATATAAATACGTCCGTTATTTACAATATATATTTTTAACAAATTCATGAACTTGGTGGCGCAGGACCTCCAGGTTTTTGAAAATTGATTCAATGTGGGATATCTGGTATTTGACCTTCTCAAATCATTAATAATTCATGAGTAATTAAACCAATAGCATGAAAGCATTTCGTCACAAGATGCTGTTTGGATACCGCGATCAAACACCGTCAGACACAGCACCACAAAAGTTTAGCTGCATACGTAATTAGGATATTTGATGAAAGTCACTAGTGTTTTCATCAAATATCTTAATTACGCATGCAAAATTACTTGAATAGAATTCCTAATTACGTTATGCTTGGTTAAGAATTCTATTCAAATTAGCAAACGAAAACATTCTGCGGTTACGTCTCGATTCATTTGAGAAACCATATAAACAACTCGAGCTCGTGTCGCACCGGGATATCCACTGAAACACTCGAAAACAATTTATGAAAATACTCGCGCTTCGCGCTCGTGTTTTCATGCATTGTTTTCTCGTGTTTGGATATTCCGGTAAAACACTCGCTCTCGTTGTTCATATATAACTTAAAATATCTCAAAAGATCGTGACCCGGCTTTTCCGGTTGATGGTCAAACGCAGAAAACCCGTGAAGAAACTAATCGCAAAAGAGAACCCTTGTTAACAGAGTAAAACCGCAAAAAATCTAAACGCAGTAATTTTGACCTGTAATGTAATGCAGGTCAAAGTAAATAATTTTGTCGGTTAAGTGTTCTTCTTCTGCATGTGCACTGTGTTTTTCTACGAAAGTGTGTTTATCTCCAAACTTGGGCGAAAATACACACTTGTCATAGGAAGGGTGTGCTAACTAACACGGTAGAAAATGTGTGTTTTTCTTAAAGGGTGTTATCAAACACATCCACCTCCATCGCTGTGCATTAGGCTAATGACTGAACACTGTATGTTTATAACGCACAAAGGTGTGTTAGGTCGAATAATCGTAAAAGTACAATGGGTAGTAACACACCCAACGTGCTATATAACACCTTTTTGTGTGTGTTTGCAGCACATCTATTTTTAAGCTCGTAGTCATAAATCATTCACACAGTATTGTAGGAAGAAATTGAAATTTGACTGGCTATTTAATTCCGTCTCAGATTTCCCCAGCATTGAAAATTCAAACTTGTTTCTTACAGCTGCATGATGATTATCGAGATTTTTGTCACTCTGTTTCTGGTTTGGTTCATCTGGTATTTTATAACTACCTACATAGAAAGAAAGAACATGCCTCCCGGACCATTTCCTTACCCCTTCTTTGGAAACATTCCACAAATCATGTCTGCAGATCCCATCAGACCATTTAGTAAACTAGCTGAGAAATATGGAGACATTTTCACAGTTACTTTTCCAAACGGCAACGCTGTCATCTTGAATACAGCATCCCTAGTTCGTGAAGCCAGGCTTGCTCCAGGGAGACAAGAAGATCTTGTGGGCAAATCACCAGAGTCTTTCTATCCTTTACTGGAGATAATGGGTCATACTATGGGCCTATCTGATTACTCCCCCGCATATCTTTTTGAGAGGAAAGTTTTCGTATCGGCAATGCACATTTTTGGCGCTGGGATAGAGCAAGCCTCGGTCCGTGCTGGTCACGCTGTTGATATCGCGATGAAAGAAATCGAAAATAAACCAGGGAGATCTTTTTCACCCAAAAATCTTTTCGAATCCTCCATAGTTGTGCAACTTTGGGAATGGCTTACATCGAATAAGGTAGCGCTGGACGACCGTATTGTGCAGGAACTCAACGAATTTTCCGCGATTGTCGGCAGACAAGCGCTACTTAATACAATGTATCAGTTATTTCCGTTCCTATCTTACTTACCAACGCAATTTTCTCGGGAAATAAAGCGAGCACAACAGATTGGAAAGACGATTTTTCCACCGGAATATCGAGCCCACCAGGAGAACTACATTCCAGGCACAATACGAGATCTCACAGATAGCTTTATCAGTGCATACGAAAAAGAGCTGGCCAAAGAAACTAGGAAAGATATTAGCTCGAAACATATTGGTATTCCAGGCTTGATGGTGGATGTCGTTGCTGTGGGATCAGAAACTAGCTCAACATGGCTAACTTGGTTTTTTCTCTACAATGTCTTATATCCAAATGTGCAAAGCAAAATACACGACGAATTGGACGCAGTAGTAGGACGTGATCGGCTACCAAACCGGGCGGACGCAGAAAGCTTGCCATACCTTCAAGCTACCTTATGTGAAGTCGAAAGGGCATCAGGTATGATGACGCTCGTCGGGACAAACGCGATTCGCGACACAACCATCGCTGGCTACCCCATTCCTAAAGGAACATTTGTCGGCTTAAATCTTGCGAAGGTGCATGAGGATAAACGAGAATGGCAAGAACCGGAGAAATTTAAACCTGAAAGATTTCTGGATGAGGATGGCAAGTTCGTCGGCTGGAACAAACTACGCGGTTTCATGCCGTTTGCCATTGGTCGTAGAGAATGTCCTGGCCAATCATTGGCGAAGTAATGATGTTTTCGTTTGCTTCAATATTATTACAACGTTACAATATTGAGTTGCCTGAAGGAGCCGAGATACCAACTACTAAAGTGTCCACCCCACAACTCATCACTCGACCAAATTATTTCCTAGTTGTTGCAAAGCCGCGAGAGCTGGGATTGTTACAAGACTGACGATAGAACTATAAAATAAAGCTCATAACTAGCACTGGATGGTGAAAGGTATATGTTCTGCATAAATTAACTTGTCAATGATGGCCATATTTGAGCGATATAAATATACTAAAACTGTCTGTACCAGTGTAGGTAGTACCAATGTGAAAATGCTGTGCTGAGTGGTTGTATTACTACCTTAAAAATTAAGCCTGAGAAACTCGACGTTTCGAGCGAAGGCCCTTCGTCAAGATAGTAATACAAATGTTGAGGAAAAATATTATACATAGGCACAAAATAGAACCCAAGGGCCGGTTGTTATTATTAACTTCGTCAACATATATTATAACTTCGTCAACTTATATATTAACTTCGTCAACATTTGTATTACTAACTCTTGACGAAGGGCCTTCGCTCGAAACGTCGAGTTTCTGCTTAATTTTTAAGGTAGTAATATAACCACTCAGCACAGCATATTTGAGCGATCCACTCAAATACAATTTGGTTTGGCTATCTATTAACGAGGAATATGAATGGGAATAGAATGACGGGGGTATCGACCAGAAATGGGCGGGGAATGACAAGTGATTGTATTTACACTTGGTTGTACATGTCGGTAAGCACAGGTGCCGGTTGTTCAAAGGTAAATTAGCGCTCATCCTAGGGTTAGGCTAATTGGCTTTTGAACAACCGGCCCCTGGGTTCTATTTTGTGCCTATGTATAATAATTTTCCTCAACATTTGTATTCATAGTCCTTACGTATGGCATGTAACTTGTATAATCATACAAATACTCCCAGTTCTATTAAAAAAAAAAGATCTTCAATTTTTTTATGTTTACTTTCTTGTAGCAATACCAATATGATAATGGAACAAACGTTATTAATTATCAGTGACTATTATTTCTATATTTTTGGTCAGGTTCATGGAGATTTGGGTTCATTCATGATTGCACGAGGTATATTGCCATTGTATCAATAAAGCAGTCGTCGATTAGCGGCAATGTTTCATTTGAATCAGAAATTTTAGTTCATCATTGAAATTCTCAATCTTAATAATCCAGACACAAAGGAGGTCATACCTTTCAACTTTTTTTCAGCGTAAATCAAATTCAAATTGGTCCAGTTGGATTTTTGACGTTTTTTACTTTGCGCTTAATACAGAGTGGACGAACTGCTTTCAACGCAGGCAGCAGCATTAAGAATGTTTTCCCCGCCATGCAGGGACTAGATCTTTTACCTAGGCCACCAAACATTATAGGCAAAATAGTCGATATCCGGTCATTTCCTTCTCATTCCCTTGGGCATTCCTCGGTCATTCACCACTCATTCCCGGTCGATTCCTAGTTCAATTCCGGTTCAATCCCGGTTCATTCCCCGTCGATTCACCGCTCATCGTCCGTCCATTCCACGCCGATTCCCCGCTCATTCTCGACTCATTCCCTGGTTAACCACCGTCGATTCCTCGCTCATTCCCCGTCGACTCCCCTGTCATTGTCCGTCAATTGTTAGCTCATTTACCGTCGATTCCCAGTCGATTTTCCTCTCATTCCCCGGTCATCACCACTCACTCGTCCCTCATTTCCCGTTCATTATCCGGCATTTACTCGCTTGCCCCCCGTCGATTCGCCGTTAATTCCCGGTTCATTCACCACCCCCCCCATTCCCCGCTTATTCTCCGCCGTTTCCCCGTTCATTCCATTCTCCAGTTCCCCGTTTCCTGTTTTAAAGATAGCCCTTTGTTGCATGTATCTGCATTCTTACTATTTTTGGTTGATAAATGGTAAAGTAATCGTAATAGGTAATCCGTTCCTATATATGACTTAATTGAATTTGCTGCTGAACAAACATTCAGGTCGTTCAAATCTGGTAAACTGAAATAATCACTCACTTTTCACGTTACCAAAATATCCACATCACTCCCAGAAATCTTTTAAGTTTTTAAGTTATTACACTTGGCCATGACTTCAATAGACATTTCCAGCTATCGGCTAATATTTTATCTGGACAAGAAAGACGAAATATATCATTATATCTCAAAAGAACATCCTAAAATTAGTAAAATTGCAAAGTTTGATTGCGAAATGTTGTAAAATACGGAAAATATAGCCCTGTGAAATTAGCACTTTTTGAGTATTTTAGTATTAGGCGCGATAAAAATAACCATTCTTGAGCCGAAAGTGGTTTTTTTTACCGCTGACCTAAAAAATTTAGTTTAAAAACGCTCCAGTCAGAATGATAGCGTTGCGGAGGATACACCTGGGACAACAAAGTATGCAAACTGTTTGATTTGCAAGAAGAATATCTTTGTTTCGAAGGCACGTCTTTCAGTGTGCGTCATGTTTTCTAAATCAGTCTAATGTCGCGTACAAGAGAAGAGGCTGTATAGCCAAAGTGACGTACTTTCCAAAAGAGTCACCCTTTTGGAAAGTACGTCACTTTGGCTATACAGCCTCTTCTCTTGTACGCGACATTAGACTGATTTAGAGGTGTATTCCAGGGCAGCACTCTAAACAACTCTCTGTCCAGTTGCTGAGCATCAACCACAAATTCATGTGCAATTATTGTGTAGTGGGTGATTTCAACATAAGGCCGATTGGTTATCTTTAATTATCATAGCAATGCTTTGCTGACTGAATAATTAGTGCAAATACAGCTTTGTTACACTGTTACTTCGAAATTATTTACAGGCTTTCGGAAATACCCCCGGCCCCTACTAGTGTCCGCCACTGAATTCTCAACCTCGTTCCCAGGCTCTTTGCTCTTGGGAAGCAAAGACCCTGGTCGGGGCTGATGACGTCACACATAGAAAATTGATAGCCGAAGGGGGGATGGAAAAGTCTCATATTACATGTTTCCACTTCCGCACTTCGCACTTCGATTGCAAGGAGTGGCCGTTCTGTACAATCATCTAATTCATCTTCGAGAATCATATATACCTCAAACTACTTGCTAAATTGGTTTCTGTTACAGGAAATCAAGCAACGAGAACGTATGACTGTACGCTTTGAAATATTTTTATTTTCTCGGAGTTCGCCGGTTCGGGCGTAGTTTCATTTCACGCGTAAGTTTCTGTTCTGGCTCTGATATTTATAATATGCTTATAATATGCCAGTGAATTGTTCTGATATAGACACGGTATAAATTTTTTAAACAGATGTCTCAAAAGCGACTGTTTATAGGTGGTAGGATTAGCGCCTGGTCTTAAACGTGACACATTTGGACACAAGCCAAATACACATTGAATGTCCATTTTATTGATTCTAAAACTGTTTATAGACCGTATTGCTCTAGATTTTTTTTAAAAGGTTATCATCGTTTATGTTAAACACCAGGAAGACAAAATATAACGTACAAAATTGTTTGAAATCGACAGTGCACAGCTGACATACGACAATTCACAACTGCATGAATTTCCTTTTTTGTCGATCTGCATGAGTACCTGTTTGTTGAAGCCAAAATATTGCACAGCATCTCCTATAAATTCTATCGCCATTTACCCTCTCCCCTTAAATGCAAAGGAATGACAGCAGAAAAGGTTTAGCAAAGTATTTTTTATTACATCTGGTATAAAGTGTCCTACGTTTTATCAGGATATACATAATTCATAAACTGTATATGCACACGAAGTCTCGCTTATATTAATGAGTTTTACTGTAACAAACCTTTTAAAGTTTCCATTGATAGATAGGTTGTTTGCCTCCAGTATTGTTTGGTAAAACAGACTAAACTTCTAAAATATTGGTTACGGAATACGATAAATATTAAAGTTGATTTAAATATTGATAACTCACAGCGGCATTAATCCATTATACAAGTCTAAAGAAGCTGGATTATTCTTCAATAAAGCCCTCAATGGACAATGCTAATGTCAATGAAAGGTCTAATATTATACATGTTGCAAATTACTGTATACACAAAATATGAAATAATTTATATAAAGTACAATACCAGTGTCTGGTGCATATATCGTCGTAGATATTCAAGATGTACCGCACGCACGGAAACGCACGGAGGAGTCTTGGCGTTTGTGTGATAACAGATAGCTAGCTACACTTCGACATTATCTTTCTTGATCGTTGAGTTTCAGCAATGTAAATGAAATGAATCCTGTGCTTTTACAGTCAAAATAGCACTATTGTTTATACATGTTGGCGATGTTAAGGAAATCAAAGGATCCCGTTATAAAATAAATCTTTTGTTTTGAATATCGGACAGGATACACTTCAACTATAAAGAACCATATCGTTCGTTTAATACCGTTTGATCGATCAGTCTGTGTAGAAGATATGTATGTTTCTACGGCGATACGTGCTAAACTTCGCAAGCCAGGCGCGTGTGGAGTGTTTTCCTTGCAAGTGAAATATGATCCAGCTTCTCGCTTGAAATGTAACGCAACACTTATTATTGATGACATTCAGTATAGCAGGAAGTCTTGTCATGATCAGTACGAATCTAGAACGTTCCTTTCACAATCTCTTGTTGCAAATTACATTTTTATCACCCGAAATTATAACACATAAAGTTGCAATTTTCAAAACGCAACAAACACGCTCCTCTACCTCCCGACCCATAGTCATATTATACGTTTACCCCCAGAATCTGGGTGTGACGTCATCAGCCCCGACCAGGGTCTTTGCTTCCCAAGAGCAAAGAGCCTGGGAACGAGGTTGCTGAATTCTGCGAAACCATTACTCTTTAGTTGATAATTTGTGCATGTGGGTACTAGCTTGTAGTCGTAGTAATTGTAGGGTGATACATTAAGAAATATCCTTCGCTGGCAAAATTTTGTGGCATTGCTTGTCGACCCCCAGCAGTGCTACCAGATCTGTGTAGCTGATTCCGATTGGTCACGACCGAACTCAATAGATTGTACTAGCTGGACGTCAATATGAACAAACGTTCGACTTCGATTCTCACTAAAATCGAAATAATATTTTCTTGACACCCGATGTTCATTGTAAATTTTACTTCTCTCTATGTTTCAAACTACTAAATATTCGACGCAAAAATGTTGCTGTTGTATTGTGGATTAATAACCAAAATCAATCAACAAGAAGTTGAAAATAACGGCAATTTCTGAGTGTGATGTGATTTGTTTGCTTTATACAAAATCAGAACATTATAGACCTCAGAACTCAACCAATGAGAATCTCCTGAGTTTAACTATGACCAATTGGAGTTTGAGAAGCGCAGCTGGGAGACGATTGACAAGCAATGTCGCGAATTTTCACAAACTGTGTGAATCCAAGAGACTTTTATTTATGCTGTAATAGTGAAGCACGGTATAGGTTGAATCAATAACTGTAGTTGAGTAGATAATCTAATGTGGTATTGAGTTGACAATTTATTATAGATTTTTAAATCATTCGTTGTAATGTATTCCGACGGTAAATTTGTAGAACGTGCGGCATTTTCCGCAATTAATGAGTGTGTTTACAATAAAGTTAACTATCGTGTAATTAATTGCAATTGACTGTTGCCTAAATTCACCTTTCAATTCATAATCTATCACTAAAAAAATTCCTTAGAATCTAACTCCAAAATCTCCAAAATTGAGTAACTTTTGAGACGTCGATTGTTGATTCAGACTCATATATAGCGGTCTAACAAAAGTTGTGGGGTTTTTGCAGGTGCTTTGGATTCCATCGACAGACTCCAAAAAACAATATAATTAAAATTCCTGATAAAATTTCCTGGTTAGCCTAGAAATAAACCTATTTGGTTTAATAAACCGGGGCTGAAGTCTTCAGCTCCCCCACCTTCACCCAATAATTTTCATGATATTGAACGAATACGCCCTTTTGTGCTTGGTTTCGGAAATTGAAGCACAAGTACCATCATAATTGGAATTCCAATTGGAATTTGCAAATGGGATCAGTTTTTCTGTCCAACCTTCAATGAATTAATAGGAACATTTAAATTCCTATTGGAATTTCAATTGATTCCAACTGGAATTTGGGCCAATTTCCAATAGAATTTCTTATTGGAATTCCAATTGTTTTTTTTAAGACGGTTAAATTCAGAGAAAACGATCCAGTGCATTATGTATCTCCTCCAAAGTCGCAACAAGCATTCACTTTGCTCCTATGGCGTGAAAATCTTAGTTTAACGTTGTATTCAGAATAATGACAACGTTGTTGAGGATACCCCTAGGGCCACAAATTATTCAAACATTTTTTTGGCATTATGATCTTTTCTGTTTCAGTTCGAGTCGTGTTTTCTAAATCAGTCTAAAAAACAGCAGCGAACCAATCAACCTTTACGTATCAGCCATTTTAAACCAAATAATTTTGGCCACATAATTTGAAAGGATGCGTCTACATGCATTCAATTAGCTATGACAGGCGCCACGAGCCCATTACATCTCTGAATTTCGTAAAAAAATTACGATCAAGTTCAAGCTTAAAAAACTTGAAAAACTTAACATTTTCCTATCAGACTTCAATTTGTACATAAAATACAAGCGTCTACAAGCTAGAACGTTTGAAGTTATATGCGCTTTGATTGCACGTCGTAATGAACATGTCTGAAATGCATTCAGCATTTTGCACGTTGCGAACAAAATTTTCACGAAAGTCAACATATACTGGCACAACTCCGAATATTCAGAGAGTTTGAAATATGCTACAAAATGCTCCAGTTATCTCTGTAAGGGAACTGGTAAAATGCGAATTGCAAACAAGAAGCAAAAGCCTAATGGACATTACGCTTACCGCGAGCTTCGTGCCTTCGACAGGTCCGCGACTTGAATTAGTCATCTCTCTCGTCAAATACTTGCCCTAAAAACGCAGGTAAAACAACTCTGAATCATATAAATCACAGCAGGTCTGTTTCTGAACATTATTGATAGAAAAGTAGGAAGAACTAAGCGACTAAAAGAGAACGAAGCTCTTAAACAAGAAGAAATTGCAAAGTATTTCATCAATTTATAGCACCGCGCGCGTTTCCAACAACAGTTATATTTATATAACTTAACAGAAACAACTCATAAACGTTTAAAATATACCTAAATTTAATATTAACCTGTCTATATCTGCACAGCATAGCCATTTTATTCAGTGCCTTTTTTAACTATATATCTGGGGGGCAATTGCCCCCCCAGGGAAAGAATTCCCCCCCCCCCAGTAAAGCCATTTTTGCCCCCGAAGTGCGAAGCAGAATTGCTCATGATTGCTGTCAGAATTGCAGTTGATTTACTTGATAATGAGATTATGCCCTTCCATAGCCTCCTCCACAGCCATCTTGTGTGTAATTCGTATTGTTCTTCACCGAGTATTTCATAATAGCCATAGATTTCATGCAAACAATCCGATAAAATGCTAGCCTTTCCAAGCCTTGCGACTTTTTACTAGCACTCTCCTCCACAAAGGCGTTGTGTTTTGTTTTGGGAGGTTTTATTGCAAAATTTTTTCCTTAAAAAATATCAAGTTATATTAAGAGCCCCCCCCCCCCATC